CCTGCGTCATCCGGTCGGGCGCGCCGTTGCCAACCTCCAAGGTCAGGCAGGGTTCAGAAACGCCGGCCCAAACCCAGTTAAGGGACATTTGAATCTGTGCTTGGTTGCAGGCGAGATGTCCAAGCCCAAGAATGTCCATGCCTTGCCGCGAAACTATGTACCAGCCGGTGTCCACAGAATACACGAGACACCGATTTTTTGGACATTCGCGGCAATAAAAAAATATAGCTTCAAGGGTGCCGGCATTTGTAAGCCCGATTTTAAACTTGACTACCGTTAGACGCGCAAAAATATAAACAGTACAACCCCCCCATCTCCGCACCAGCACTATTTTCACAGGAACCTCCTCCTCGCCGCTGATCTGCAACTAACTGCCCACCGGTCACCACGCGAGTAGCCCCTCACCCCTTCGTGAGTGCTAATTGTCTAGCAGCTGTCGCGTTTTGGGGCCTCTGTTCTTACACCACAAAGAAAGGCGGGTTCGTTCTTGTTCTTAACACCACGTCGAGCCTGAGCACGCACGTGTAACGATTATTTTTACGTGGCCAATTTCTTTGATTTTGACTTTTTTCGAGGCCGCATTTTTTAACTGCCAAGTTCTCAAGTGCGAGCGCCATCTTTATCTTCTGATCGTAATGTATTGCCGGAAGCAACATAGACATGGGCCTACTCTATTTGATATATATATTGCTGCCTAGAAACACGCACGGCAACGATCGGGGGGCAAAGCAAGGACTGAGAAAAAGCAAGAGAGTAGGCGATGATATACTATATACATACGCTGCCTCTCTCTGTAAAAGTCAATACGACAACACGTACGTACGTACGTCTGTCTCCTACAAATATATATTAATAGTGGTCGAATATAGTATTATTACATAAAAAATCTCGACTGAAAAAAATTGCGCGCTCAGCACCAAATAGTTCTATATACTTCGTATATATGTTGTTCCTGCTGTGGAACATGAAAACTTAGCTGACCAAAAACTTGCCATTGAATGATTGGTAATGGAAGACATCACTTGGAGTTTCTGCTTTTTGCGTGGGGGGGAAGGCAGAGTAAGTGTGCTCTTATCGGCCGCGTGGGTGGTGCTGCCACAATTGTTCCCGCCCCCATCACTATCCCCGGTGTTTGCCATCGGGGTTGGGTTTTCGTCGCTCGGCAACGAACTTGTAAAACAACCCCCCCCTCTCGGTGTTTGCCATCGGGATTGGGTTTTCGTCGCTTGGCAACGACGTTGTAAAACGAGCCAATTCATTTCGTGAACTCGGCAACCAGGTTACCGTTTATTTGCTTTT